GACAGTTACGTGTCCCTACAACATGGTCTGCAGACTGATATGTCACAGATTTTTTCAATATTTCTGCTATTCTTTCGACAGCCCAGGCTAGAGTTGAAAATTTCCCGGATTTGCATCATTCTAATACCCTTTTCTTTCCAGTTGACATTTTGCATTCTTGATCTCTGCCCATAGGAAGGTGTTATTTGTAAATTCAGAGGAAAACATAATGCATACTGATGTTGCTTGTAGGAGTTTGTGCATGGAAAGTATCTTTTATTCTGGAAGCTCACAATACAACTTGGTTCCAAGGATTAGAGAATAGCAGTACTGTAATTTTAATGATGCGGGTTTGATTTCTGCACTGTTACTTCAGGACTCAATCCCTAGTTTCCCAGGACCGCAGAAAGTTTTTCATGAAAACCAATGTCAGAAAATCATATTTGTGTCAACTCGTGGCTGCACCATGTGAAATTTCACTATGATCTCTGTGGAACCCACCTCCTATGTAAGCATAAATTTACTACTTTAAGGGTACATATTTTAACTCTTAAATCTTAAGAGCTCATTGCAGCTGAAAATAACAACTCTTGTTTATATTCCTAAGTAGCAATTCAGTTACAGAAACTTTAGGTCTAAGACTTGAATTAATATGTTTTTCATGTAAGGGTTTGTAACTTCAGATTGAGCAAACTGGTGTAACTCTAAAGTCAGTGAATCTGTAATGATCTATGTTGTGAGGACCGGGCGTATTCTCACTGTTTGATTACTGGTTCATTAACTGCGTATAGTATGAAGATATAGTAATGAGGAAGCATTGATTCTTTGAAAAAGTGACTTTTTGGTTTAGTACCGTGATTGAATCTTGGAAGGATTCTGGTTGATCCTACAGCACTCTGCTTTCCACCCACCAATTCACAAAGGTTCTGGATCAGAGTCTTTCTGTAGCACTGTATAAATGAAAAAACCCTCAATAACCCAATGTGTCGCCACTGGCAACACATAGCAGCCATGTACAGATAAGGATTTTTCTCTTACATACACATTTAAGTCTGCATCTCATTAATTTTTCAATTAGATTCTCTTCTTTTACTCACAGGCTCTTTGAAGATGCTGCTGACAAGTTAAACTTGATGTCACTGGCAGGCTTCCTTTACCAGCTCAAGAAGGCTTCTCAGGCCCAGCTTTTCCATTCAGTCACAGATACAGTTGATTACTCCCTAGCAATGCCAGGTAAATTGTCTGAAGATCCCTTACTGAGTTCTGTGTTTCATATACAACTGTACTGCTTACAGGACTTGCTTTCTATTCTTACTGCTTTAATTTTTCCAATTGAAATGTCAAGGTATAAGTAAAACACAGTATTTAGTCTAACAAGATCTTTCTCTAGGAGCAATTCAAAGTCTTTAGAAAGGTTGAGCATTTTTTTGGACAGGAACCACATCCGTGCCTGCTGTGAAACAATTCAGAGGACATTCATTTGATTCTTGGACTTTGGGGGTGTTAATTATCCGCAGATACTTAATCACAGCTCCATTTTGGAGCCCAATCCAGTAAGGAAACTTGGGTGAATGTCAGCCTAAGACAGTGGATTTAGGTTAGACATTTGACAGTGATAACCTCAGAAGTGTTCAGAAAATGGGTGATAGCAAACAAAGCACACAACTAAAGAATGCTGAATAAAGCAGTGGGATTTGTTCTGCTTGCTCTTCCCCAGCAGAGTGGAGCATATACCTTACAGTAGAAAGCCTGTAAATTGTCATTTCCATCACTGTCTCAAATAGGCAGAAGGATTGGAACTAAAGGAAGATATTTCATGTAAATTTGTACTATGCCTTTAGAAGTTACATTAGTCATACGGGCTTTGTTCTCTCCTGTGACAGACATGGATTTTATCTGGTATACGTCTCCAATTTAATCGGTTTCCCATCTGCCTGAAATGCTAATTGTCATTTTCTCAATGTGACACTTCAGGTTGTTTGGGTTTTTCTCTTGCTTGTCTCCAGGCCTCAACATTCATCACTTTATTTTTAATAAATAGAGATCCTCTTATAATGTATGTAGTAGTCAATCAACAGTAGTTAGTAATAATGAAATTAAAATTAGGATAGAGCAATTAATTGCACTTTTTAATATTAAAGTGGCATGTCCCCTGATTACTACTTTCATTGGAGATAAAAGCACCAGCATATTTTAAATGAAGGGAGAATGAAGTGTATTTCCAAATATTGTAAGAGCAATGGAAGATGAATCCCTTTCAATAGGAAATAACAAATATTACTGGCTGGGGAACAGAAAAGTATTTTCTCACATCCTCTGTTTCATACCCTTTACTTGATAAGAAATACAAAAGGACAAATCAAAACTAAATAATTTGCAGTTTATATTCTTTCCTGTAGATGTCACCAAAGGCTTTTGCAACTGCTATTTTGGGTCTTAATATCAATTATTTAACTCCTTGCTTAACTTTTCTGCACAACTTCTCCAAGCCTTTGTATTTAAAACGTTTGCAAAAAACCCCAATCACTTAAAATAAACCATGTTTAATAAGTTCTTCTTAAAACTTGGGTCCATCTCCTCTTCTTTTACCTACGCAGGCATAGGCTGTGGTTTACACTGATTTTTTTATTTTCTTTTTCTTCCCCTCCATCACCCTCCCCTCTGCCCCCCCCCAACCCCTGACTTAATTCTAATGAATTCTAACCTGACTTAAATTCCAGACCTCTAGAGATGGAGAAGCTGCTGTTGCTTAGCTTCCATTTATTTTCTTATACTTTCTTGTAGGTGAAGTAAAATCTACCCAGGACAGGAGAAGTGCACTTCACCTGTTCCGACTTGGTGATGCCATGCTCAGAATTGTAAGGAGTAAATCTCGCCCATTGCTCCACCTCATGCGCTGCTGGAGCCTGGTGGCACCTCATCTTGTAGAGGTAGGAGTGGGGGAGGAAATGGGAATGTGTGCAAGAGATGGCAAAGCTGAAAAAGCTGGAGAAAGCTTGATAGCTCTTAAAATGTATATCAACCCTCAGCATTGTCAAATCTGTTTACACTCCTGCTGGGGTATTGCATATACTGTATCATATATTGTGACACTGGCCCTGAGGAGTATACTTCTAAATAACTGAAATGGACAGGTGTTGGATTTTTGCAATACGATATTTCCTGTGTGTCTGTGGTGAAAAAAATGAAACCACCTTGAGAGGTTACTAGTAACTCTTCCATCTATTTATTTTTCCAGTTGAGGTCTGCATCCTTGCCTGTATTCCCATAAAAGGATGCAGGCTTTCTTTTCATTTTTCCCTTTCCTTCTTCTTTGTGAACCCTGGTCAGTGGCATGCCAGTAGCAGCCACCTAATGGATTTTGGTCATAACAAATGACCTTTCCTCAGCCAAACTTTCAGTCTTATCTGGCGAAATGCTGGTGTCTTGACTTCTTGGAGCTTTTTGATTTGTATCATGCAATAAACATGCAGTACTTCCTTTCTTTCTGTTGGTGAGGTTTGTGGTGTCATCTGCCCAGGTCTTTTGGGAGCATGCTTCTCTGGAGTTTTAAATATTTTTTTATTGACTTCAGTGCAGATGAGAGAAGGAGCAACATCAGGGAAAGGACAGAATTTAGCATAACCTGCATAGTTGCTCAAAACAGAAATTTATATCCAGATTCACTGGTGTTTAATTTTTTTAATAGGTCTTCCAAAAGTGATGAGAACCTTCTCACTTTGAGTTCCATAAATAGCCAAATAAAAAGTGACATTTGGTCATGCATAGATAGATATGGTGAATACATGCAGAAACTACCTTTTTGAAGGGAAAGATGATCACACGGTAGAAACAAAAGACGCCATTTCACATGAGTTCTGTTGTGTGGGATTTATTATTTAATTAATTTATTTTTAGCTCTGTGCTTTTTGAATTGTCAGCAAACCTTCATGTATCTGTGGGACTCCAAGCAGCTCAGTGTCTCAGTCATCTGTTTCCATGGCAGTTCTCTCCCATTTTCATTGCAGTGGGGTCCCTAGTCATGTTAGCAGTGAAGCCATTTTTAGCGTTCAGCAGCATGAAGTGCTTACCTCCCTTAAAAGTGTCTCACTAAAAGCAAATTTTTTGCTTGGACAAACTAATACTCTTCCTCTCCATGCAGGCGGCCTGTCATAAGGAGAGACACGTGTCTCGGAAAGCTGTCTCCTTCATCCATGACATCCTCACTGAAGTGCTGACAGACTGGAATGAGCCTTCTCATTTTCACTTTAATGAGGCGCTTTTCCGCCCCTTTGAGCGTATTATGCAGCTAGAGCTCTGTGATGAGGATGTCCAAGACCAGGCAAGTCAGCCCTGACCAGGGTGTCTCTATCTGGCTTACTACACCCATAACAAGGATGGTCTCTAGAATGTGCTTGGTCCACTTGAGAGTGTTTCCCAAATTCCCTTCAAATGATGCCCCTTAATCATCTTCAAGGAATCAGGAGGGCTCTGCCTACCTAAGCCAGTGTGGTGGTAGAGCACAGAGACAGTACGCCTGGCTTTAAAGCAATTAAATAAAACTTCTTTATTGTCGAAAAAAAAAAAATAAAAATAAATTAGTCTAGACTGACATAGTGAAATCTAGGAATGTGTTTAACGCCAGTCTTACTCCTTCTGAAAGTCTGTCTATGTATCAGTTCTGTTTTTTTATTTTATTCTTTTAACTTCCCCTACACTGTCTGCAGGTAGTCACTTCTATAGGAGAGTTGGTGGAAATGTGTTCTACCCAGATCCAGTCAGGATGGAGACCCCTGTTCAGTGCCCTGGAAACAGTGCACAGCAGCAGCAAGTCAGAGGTTAAAGAGTACCTTGTAGGAGAATACTCTATGGGTAAGGACTTACTGCCCTGACTGTTTCATATGTGCTTTTCTTTCCCTGTCTTATTCCTTGGGGACACAATAACTAACTCGATATATTAAATGCCCTACCTGAACAGTGGCACTTAGCAGTGGCTCTGCAATACTCCAGGACTGTACTGAAGTATCTGGTTTATTAGTGTGGGTGGGAGGGAAAGCAGAGGTATGTTCTGACTTTTTCTCTTCTAGATTCTGGCAGATGAGTAGAATGAGAAAGAAATGTTTCAAACCTACTTGAATATTTCTGAGCGCAGGAGTATTGAGCTTGGCTAGGCCCTTGTGCCTGTCCTGCTAGAAAGGAAAGCATACTGTATACAACCAGCACCTCTCATGTGGACTCTCTTAGTATGTGAAACCTATTGCTCTTATACATCAGAGTAAGTTAGTGTGATGATATAGGCAAGTGCTTGTCCAAGCACTTAATCACAGGGCTTCAAATTGCTAGCACTATTACAAACCATGTTTGCTGTAAGACTGATTCTGCATCCCTGGTTCAGAGATGTTTGTTTATATGGAAACTGGGTAATAGGGGAAAATCACTTTAATTTGTCCTTTTGCCCCTTTAGAAGGTATTTTTAAATGTTCCAAGTCACGTGTAAGGGATATGGTTTTCCTCCTAAATTTTGTATTTCAGATCTGTTATAATTAATGGCAAAATGCAAGTATATACAGCTTTGAAGTCTGATAAACTATTTAGGAAAAGCAAGGCTATTTTGTTACTGTATAGTCCAAATAGTTTTCCACATGACTGCTGTCATCTTGGCAGCTACCAAGAACTAAACCAGAAGCCTCCACCAAACAGAAGTGTTAGCTACTGAGCTGAGTTCAAGAGCTCAAACCTGCTCTTACCATTTGGGCAGGCATAAGCTGATATTTTTCATAGCTAAGGCAAAGGAGGGAATCCTTATTACTTCCTATAAAGGGCTACATGAGTTGCCTCAGGAGCAAGAGAAGGTTTTAGATCTAAGATCAATTCTGCCTTTGCCCAGAATAGAAGAGATTCTACAGATTCATGTAAATTGTTGAAAAACTGTTGGAAAATCACCTTTATGGGGGATGGAGAAGAGTTCTCATCTTGTTGTTTCCACAGGGAAACGCCAGGCTCCAGTGTTTGATGTCTTTGAAGCATTTCTAAACACAGACAGCATCCAAGTCTTTGCCAATGCCGCCACCAGTTATATTATGTGCCTTATGAAGTTTGTCAAAGGACTGGGTAATTATTTTTTTCCTTTTATCCTATTAAGTCATGATATGTCGAACTTGATCCTGCAGAAGAGTAGAATTCAGTTATGTAATACATAGTATGGTATGGAAGAGAGAGGCAGTGAAGAAGTTGAGTCCAGAATGCTTTAGAAAAGAAAAGAAAGACCAAGGGATTATTTCAGAGACATTTTTAATGCTATCACTTCTTCAAGTTGTTATAGCAGCAAAGATGCATCTCACTATTAAATGTCTGCTTCACTTGATCTTAATTTCATCAGGACTTGCTTATATTCATTTAATAACAAAAAAAAAAAAAACAACCCAAAAACCAGATTATTGCAGAAATGGCCTGGCATTGTGCAGTGACAGTATGGCTTGTTTGCAACAGAACAAGATATGTTTTACATTTGGCAGGTCAAAGCCACATAGCTCCCTTCTACTCTTGCCCACCTCAGCAGCAGTAGTTTGGCATATGTAGTGCTGAAAACCTGCCAAACCTTCAGTGAGATCACGAGCATTGCAACTAACATTCTGTCCCCATGATTAGGTTTTCTGTTGTTGCTGAGGGCAGCGGAGACCAGGCATGTCAAGTCAAGGTGACCCTGCAGAGTAATTGTGGTGCTTTACCAAACTTCAGAACAAAGGCAAAATGGTGTTGGGTCATTCTGCCCCCATGTTCATGTTCCGTGGCTTGCCTTGATCATTAGAACTTGACACTTTTCATTAAACTGTGGCAGTGATTTTTTTTTTCTTATGTAAATTGAAAAACTTCTAATGAGTGGTAAAATGGGGCTTTTTTTTTTTTTTTATAGGTATTTTAATTCACAGAGATGCCTAGGCCTGTAAGCAACTCCCTTTAATTTAAATGAAGCACCTAACTCCAGCAGATTTAGTCTTTAATGTTATTCTCATCTTATTAAGCTATTTCACCATCGATTTCAACAGGGACAGAATTCAATTTGTGATGACAGAACGGAATTCTATTTATTACTACAAAAGAGAAACAAATTTGCATGTCCAGTACCAGTAGAGGGAACTCATGTTCCTTCTGGAGAACTTGAAATCCTGTCTTACATTTCTTTAGGTTTCTTACTTTCATGAGATAAGTTTGTCCCCTTTATAGTTACATGTCAAAAAGCAAGATCTTTTTTTGTATTAAAGGTACTAGGACTGTGGGGTACTTCAGTACTGAGCAATAGCAAATATACTACCACTTATGTGCATTTTAACATAAAACTAATGGATTCAAACTTCACTGGCTGACTTGGCTAATCTCAATAGTAGACAAGACTTTCAAATACATTATAGAGGGAATAGTTAAGGGCATAGAAAAAGCAAATAATAGAATAAAGTAGGATTTAATAAAAGGATTTCATATTTATCTTGTGTTTTTTATGAGATGAATAGCTTTTAAGGCAATAAAATGTTAATCTATATAGACATTTAGTAAAGCTTCAGATTTGGCACTGAATGGGAAGTATTTGGCTAAACTGGAAAAATGGCTATAAGCCAAGTATTCTAGGTGGTCAGAACATTGGCTGAGAGGGGAGGAAAACAGACTGTGCAGAAAGGGACAATGCTGGGTGAATGGAGTTATCTAAGGAGGAACTCTGCAACAGGATGCCTTGGAACTGGTCTGCTTATTTAATACACTTCAGTAAAGCTGACCTAAAAGTAGGACTCTGCTGATGCCACAGGGTAATAATACCTGTGGTATTGAGACACTAGAGCCTGAGGATGTCATACAGTTGAAACTGTGAATCCTTGACACCTGTATTAGACAGCAGAAGGAAATATCATAGCACAAAATATAAAATGGTGTATTTAAGGTGTAAATAAACTAAAAGGAAGAACTCGTGGTAGAAGAATTTTCCAGTGCACTGGGGTGCAAATGAATAGAAAAAATTAGTATATTAATTGAGCAAAGGGTGAATATGAGCAAGTAATTCATACACGTATGGAAAAAAGTGGAGTGGGGCCAATATGACAGATGACTACAAGGCATGATTATAAGAACTCCCAAAGGCTCTACTAAAGAGTTACTAAATAGGCATGTATTTATTAAAGCATTTTATTCATATGAAAGTCCATGTATAAACTGTGACCAATATTACTGTATTGTTTGTGTGAGAATCATCTGGTTGTCACCTAATAAGATCAAACAGAGGATGTTTTCTGGATTCCATTCAGACACTAGAGCACAAGTGAATGAAAAAGGAAAACTAATGCTATGTTTGTTTCTCTTCTTCTGTCCTTCCCAATGCTGCCTTTCCTGTCCCCAGGGGAAGTAGATTGTAAGGAGGTGGGTGACTGCGTGCCAGCATCAGGATCTGCATCTACAGACTTGTGCCTTCCCGCGCTTGATTACCTCAGGAGATGTTCTCAGGTATGATGAACAATCTTACACAGGTACTAACCTGGCCTAGGAAACAGTTCCAGCCTCCAGTTGGAACCTACACTGCCAGATGAAGAGTGGCGATCTGAAGGAATCTAGGCCAGCTAATGGTGGGAAAACTGAGGAGATAAAAACACTCAGACCCAAGGAGCATGTGGGAAAATGCGAATGTTGAAAACCTAGTAGTAACATAATCAAAGCTACATTCATTCTTATTTAAACAGTTACTGTAAACAGTGTTAGGAATGAAGGGAAAAAAAACAAACCCAAACCCCGAGAATTCTCAGATCTTAAGTGCAACAGGTTACACCCTCTAAAGCACAGCAGCAGCTTATCTGTACCGTGAAAACATATCTGAAGCTCAGGGCAAATCTCTAACAATTAGAGTGCTGGCATGTTTCCTGTAATCTCCTTGCACACAGCACAGATTATTATCCAGGGTTATTAGGATGTTTGTTGTCCCATTTTATAATGTTGTTTGTATTTCTGTAGTACTTGAAAGTACTTTTTGTTGGACCCAGGCCATTTTTTTTCCTGGGTAAAATACAAATGCATAACAAAAGATAATTACCATAGCTGAAAGGACTTAATACCTAAATTCAGAGATAATGGGTGGATTCAGTACACAGACTGAGAGGAGAAGGAAGGAAGAAGGCAGCTCAGAATAACAAACAGCAGACATATCAAACTGTACTTGCTACCTTGTTCATAGAATCATAGAATGGTTTGGGT